TTTCAGGTTTTTTTTTCCTTCTTTCTTTTCCCCCCCAAGTTTCTTGTTTTTCTTCCTCCTTTCCCTCTGCTCACTCCCTCCCGTCGCCTGCTCTCTCAGGATGTGAGGGGATGTTTAGAAATTCCACAGCCTACGCCAGCCACTGAGTCACTTTATTGGAGTAGCCTGCCCCACTTGCCTGATGCCTGATGCCTGTCTGATGGAGCTTCCCTTTGTCATGGCACCTGGAGTGCTGGGGCGGGGGAGGTGTCTTTTCTCTGTGCCTCAGTTTCCCCATCTGTAGAGGAAGTTCTGATGATCTGTGCAGTTGACTTAGCATTCACTCACTGAGCCGGCATACTCAGCATCTGGCACATGCAAGGAACTCTACCAGGAGCTGAGACTCTGTAGTGAGCGACTATCCTACCCAGGCAAGCAGGTACCCAGAAGGGGATGGGTTGACAGTGCATTCAGTGGAAGACCCAAAGGACACTGGAGGGGATCACTTTTCTTTCACCTGGGCCTGTAGCTGACTCCTTTGCTACCTTAAACTTTGGGTCTGATTCCTTTTCATCTCTGTACATGGATGTGTCAATCACTGATGGAGTGTCTATCTAAACCTTGGCCATACAAGGATGATGAGTCTAGCTTTACCTAACTTCTTTCTTCCCCTTCAAGGCTTAAGACAGCAAGATAAGAACCACTAAGCTGGGTGTGGTGGAGCATGCTTATAATCCCAGGTAGAACCATCCAGTCTGGGCTATATTGTGAGAGCCTGTCTGAAAGAAAAAACAAAGTATATTCTTAAAGTCCTGAAACAGTGAATCTTGCAGGCAGATCACTCCAGGAATCCAGACAACTTCCCCACAAGGTTATCATGACGGGAACTGAGATGACCCCTCAAGTTATGATGACTTCCCAGGACCTCACAGAACCAGACCTAAGATCGTGATGACCACATATAACACTACCTGCTTGGCTAGCCTCCCCTCTTGGTCTCTGCCCTAGTTTCTTCCTGTCTATAACCCTGTAGCTCCTGTCTGTACCTTCAAGGCAGGGTTCAGGTAACAGTCCCCCATTCTTCCCAGTGTGACCACTCTGAATATAGGAACTCCTTTCTTGATTCACTGTCGCTTGAGTTTCTGATTGAATGCTCCAGGCAGCTGTGGTAGAGCCTGGTATGTTAGGGCACTCCAGTGTCTGGTCTGTCCCAAGATTCCTTAACACTTTAGAAGGGTGACACTGAAGAGACAGAAAGACTTCCCAAGATCATCAGTCATTCTTTCAGGTTGTCTGGCCCCCAGAAAGACCAATACTAGTGTACTTAGGTGCCCTGCCCTGCCTTGCCATCTTAGCTGACCCTGTGACTCTCACTTCCAGGAGCTAAGTACCAACTAGCATTGTGTTCCAGTCAATCCATCAACCCCTCTTTCCCAAGGCTGCTGTTCCTCTTCCAGGGCCCCTGGTTGGTTCTCTTCCACCTACACCCCACTAGGTCCCTGATGCCAGCCCTCAGAGGGTTACTGGGCATTGTTTCAAAAGGGCTAGGAGAGTTAAGTGGAGCTGCCCTTCCTCAACTATTGAGGAAGCAGAGTTATGGGGTGTAGAAGGAGGTGTCCCAGGTCATACACAGCTAAATTCTGCCCCTTTCCACTCTGTCTTCTGTACCTCTGTGCTCCCATGTTTTTCTCCAGTCTCAGCAGGGCCCCTGGTCACAGAGCAGGGGGATCTGAGAGTCCATACTAACCACAGTTATTTGCCATCGTTTCTTGGTCTCATCCCAGTAGTAACTGCCCAACATTGTGTGGAAGAGAGGTCTCAGACTGACCCAGGCCACAGTGGGGGAATGAGTCTCTAGGAGGAGGGCTTGGCCTGAAGCTTGGTGGCTTCGGGGTCGTGAAAGAGCATGGCTGATGCCACAGGTCACAGGGTTGGGTCTGCACAGGATTTCCTGTGCCAAAGACCTTATCAGAAATCAGCAACTCCCTAGGTTTAAGCCTCCAAACTCCAAAGCAATTTGAGAGCGAGATTGATTGACAGCTATACCCCACAGCATTCACTTGGCTGTGTTCTTCCAAATCTTTAGAGCACCTGCTGTTGACCAGGATAGCCTGGGGGAAGTAAGGAGGAGAGTCCACTCCTTAGTCTGTAAAGGAAGTGAGGACACCTGGCCCTAGACTTGCTCAGGGACCTTACTTGAGCATTAGTTTCCTGGCTGGGCTCACTATGCCAAGGCCCTGGGAATGCTCCGCTTCAGATTCCCTCAGAACTGTACTCTGGCTAGGGAGAGGAAGCTGGTGGCCCTGGGCAGGGGACAGCTGGGGACCAGAGATGAAACACAGAGGAGAGGGGGTGAATGGTGGTGGCTCTCCAGGGAAGGTGGCGGTTGCCGGTTTCCGGCCAGCCCAGCCCTCTGCTGGCCCATCTGGAATCGTTTAACTTTATCACCGTTAACCCTTGTTGGGTATGGGGCCAGTTTTTCCTCCTCAGATTGACTGGGGGTACAGAGTTACATGGAACACCAAGGGACTGGTGAGCTGTCACAACTGAGGGCAGATTTGGGACCTAGAAACTAAAATTGGGTTCAGATCCCAGATTTTCCTGATTCCAAGCTAAATGACCTTGAACAAGACACTGAACTGCCTGAGCTTGTTTGCTGGTTCCAGGGCTGATTCACTGGTTGGCTGAGATTTGTGCTGTCCTGCAGGGGCTTAGAATGAGGCCTGAAAGAGTGACTGCTGGAAGGATGGCTTCCCTGAGTCTCACTCGCCCCTTCTACACTCTACAAGGATGGCAGGACAGCACCATCATCCTGGGGTGGCCAGCATGGCCCCAGCCCCACTGTGGTCAGGACAAGCCACGCATATTCACTGTTTGCCCATATCCTGGGAGATGAGTCTGGCCACAGTCCACCTACATAGAGAAGGTTGCTAGGAGTGGATGGACAGAACACAGCATGTGGATGACTTGTGGAGGACACTAGGACTTGGGGCTCCATACATCCCATCCCCACAGTCTGGTGACACACTTAAGGGTTAAGAGCCTGAGCTCCAACCACTTCTGCTCTTTCTTAGCTGTGTGACCTTCAGAATGTTCTGACCTGGGGACTTTAGAATGGAGACACCAGTGCCTACTTCACACGCTGTGAGAGACTGGAGTATAAGACACACAGGCATTTGGTACAAGTCTGAGAGCAGAATAAGAGATCCTCGGGTATGGCCAGGATCTGTGTCAGCAGTCACGACCGGAGGGGGCCACTCAATTTACAGCCACGGTGAGAGGCTTGTGACAGAAGAGCTCATGCCAGGCTGTGCTCATGCAGTGAGTCTCAGACAGGGACTACAGGCAAGTTTTGATCCCAGTTCTTACACCGGTGCCCTGACCTGAAGGAGAGGGCCAGGCTAAGTGAACACCACCCCCCAGGACATACCCTCACTGTCATAGCCAGAAGCAACACTCTGTGGGGTGAGCTGAGGAGCTGGAAAGGGAGCTCCCACAGGAGAAGCCTCTACAGGCCAGCACTACACCACAACTGGTCTCCCACGCTCCTGGAGTTGCCCTGCAGGCTCTCAGGGCAAGAGTGGGGTGTGAGGAAGCAGCACACATTCCAGATCTCAACACAGTATTCTTGGGTATCAGGGCATGAAGGGCCTTCTCAAGAATATGTCCATTGGACAGACTCAGAGAATGGGGGGGCTTGTCCAAGGTTCACAGGGGGGCACCTGAGATACAGTGTCTCTTGACCAGCATCCTTCCCTGCTATATACCCTGAGCAGACAGAAGCCAAAGGAATAGAGCAGGGATCATCTGGATCTCCTGGACACTGCACGGTGGCTGTCTGAGCAGGTGTGGGGAACCTGGGCCATCTTCCGCAGAGACTCATAGGACTCCTTCTACTGGGCCAAGCTGCAGCCAGTGAGGCATAGCAGAATCCCAGGAGACAGGGGATCTGATGCCCCCTATTCCACACTTACCTCAGCTCCTTCACCCAACCTTCCCCACCCTATATCAGTGCCCAGGACCACTGGGCACTGGGGTGTATCCTCCTACCAAACACAAAGGTTCAAAGACCAGCACAATAGCTCCGCCTTTGAAGACTACGTTATTTCTCCCTCATTGGGCATACTGGCTGTTGGGTCCAGAGAGGGACAGAACCTGTTTGAGGGCAACAGGTCTCCCGCAGGACCTCTCTGACTCACAATCTGTCATGTATCTCTCACCATGAAGGAAGTCCATTGAGTACCTACTATGTACCCTGCTTGCTCATCCTCAGAGCTCACAAGCAAACACCACGGAAATAACAAATTAATAAAACTAATTTGTGATTGGTACAATGAAAGAGATTGGGAACATGGGGGTTTTTGTTCAGATCACAGAGTCTCCCTTGAGAAAGAAACGTTTCAACTTAGACCTAAGGTTGAAAGGTCACACACAAAACAGGAGTAGAGATAGCGTTTGAAGCAAAGGGAACAGCATGTACCAAAGCTTTGAGCTAGAAAGACCTTGAAGTGGTAGATTGGGAGGAGGCATGATGCAGAGATATAAGGGTGGGAGGTAGT